CAACACCTATGATACCATTACCACACAGCTGTCACTTGAGATAAACACAGTTATTACTTCTAAATGTTTCCTTGTGTCTCTTTGCTTTTTTTTGTAAGAACACACTTAACATGAAATCTACCCTCTTAACAAATTCGTAAGTGTACAACACTGTATTAAGTGTAGGTGCTATGTTGTATAGAACATTCTACAATTTAATCATATTGTCTAACTGTAACTACACCCATGGAATAACAAATCCCCATTTTTTCCTCTCATCTCCTGGCAACCACTGTTTAATTTTCTGTATCTGTAAGTTTGACTTTTTTTTTTTTTTTTTAAGATTTTATTTATTTATTTGACAGAGAGAGACAGCAAGAGAGGGAACACAAGCAGGGGAAGTGGGAGAGGGGGAAGCAGGCTTCCCACTGAGCAGGGAGCCCGATGCGGAGTTCAGTCCTGTGACCCTGGGATCATGACCCAAGCCAAAGGCAGACGCTTAACGACTGAGCCACCCAGGTGCCCCAAGTTTGACTATCTTAGATACCTCCTATAAATGGAATCATGCAGTATTTGCCCTTCTGTGACTGACTTAAATCATTCAGCATAACATCTTCCAGGTCCATCCATATTGGTGCAAATAGTAGGATTTTCTTCCTTTTTAAGCCTGAATGATGTTCTGTTGTATGTATAAACCTTTTTTTCTTTATCTATTTATCTATTAATGAACATTTGGGTTCTTTCCATATTTTGGCTATTTTGAGTAATACTGCAGTGAAAAAGGGTGTGCAGATACCTCTTAGAGTTACTGATTTCCAATTTTTTGGGGTATATACCCAGGGTCAGGATTGCTGGATCATATGGTAGTTCTATATTTAATTTTTTTGAGGAACCTTCATACTGCTTTCGATAGTGGCTGCATCATTTTACAATCGCACCAAGAGTGTACAAGAATTCTTTGTTCTTCACATCTTTGTCAACACTTGTTAGCTTTTGTTTTTTTGATAATGGCCTTCCTTACAGGAGTCAAGTAATATCTTGTTCTTGATTTGCGTTTCTCGGTGGTGAAAATAGGAAGTTTCCTTCTAAGATCAAGAACAAGACAAGGATGCCCATTCTTGCCGCTTCTATTCAACATGGTACTGAAGTCCTACCCAGAGCATTTAGGCAATAAAGTAAAGGCAAGAAATAAAAGGAATCCAAATTGGAAAGGAAGAAGTAAAATTCCCTGTTCACAGATGACATGATCTTATATGTAGAAAACCCTTAAAGACCCTTCAAAAAAATTTGTAGAATAAATTCTGTTAAGTTGCAGGATACAAAATCAACTTTTTATATACTACCAGTGAACTATCTGAAAAGGAGATTAACAAAAGAATTTCTTCACAATAGTATCAAAAAGAAGAAAGTTACTTCACAATAAACTTTACCAAGGAAGTAAAAGACTTGTATACCGAAAACTGCAATATGTTGGTGAAAGAAATAAGACAAATAAATGGAAAGATATCCAGTGTTCATGGATTGGAAGACTGAATATTATCAAAATATTAGTCAATATTTGGAACTTTTTTGTTTTCTCTGATCTTTTCTTACTGATATGCCTCGCTGCTGTTTTCATATATTAAATTTCATGTATATAATATGAAGAGTCTGTTTCTAGGCTAATATTTCCCATTAATCCTTTTTTTTCCCTGCACCAGTAAGTACTACATCATCTAAATTACTTTAGCTTTTTTTTTTTTTTAAAGATTTTATTTATTTATTTGAGAGAGAGCACGAGAGGGGAGAGGGTCAGAGGGAGAAGCAGACTCCCTGCTGAGCAGGGAGCCCGATGTGGGACTCGATCCCGGGACTCCAGGATCATGACCTGAGCCGAAGACAGTCGCTTAACCAACTGAGCCACCCAGGCGCCCTAAATTACTTTAGCTTTATAATGGGTTTTAATATTTGAGAACAAATCCATCTACAGTGTTTTTCTTCAAGTATCTTGCTACTTTGGCCTTTTGCATTTACATATAAATTTTTAAAAAATTTGCCATGTTTCAAAATCAAAACCTGGGCTTGATTGGGATTGTATTGACTACATAATCACTGGGAAGATTTGCTATCTTTATAGTATTTGAAACTTCCAATCTAGTCTATGATATCTCTTTATTTACTTAGGTTTTCTTTGATTTCTATCAGTAAAGCTTTATGATTTTCTCTGTAAAAGTATATCTTTTGTTAGATTAACTTGTAGTTTATGCTCTTCTATGTAAATTGTATTTTTAAACTTCCTATTTGATATCCATAGGAATACAGTTGATTGGTTTGCTGTTAAACCTTTTTATTTTGAAAGAATTATAGGTGTAAAGTTGCAAAAATAGTACATAGAATTCAGTAACCCTTCACTCATCTTCTGCCAGTGGTGACATATTTTGTAACTGAAGTACAGTATCAAGTAAGGAAATTGACATTGGTATATGTTAATTAGATTACTGATTTTATTCCGTTTTCTTAAGTTTTTGCACAATGTTTTTTTTCTCTCTCTGTCTCTGTGTAGCTCTGTATAGTTTGATCTTGTTTATAGATTCATGTCATTAGTATCACAGTCAAGATACAGAATTATAAAGGAATTCCATAATGCTACCTCTTAGTCTCATCTGTGTACCCTAGCAACCACTAATCTGTTCTCCATGTTTATAGTTTTGTCATTTTGAGCATGTTAAATTAATGAAACCATATAGCGTGTAACCTTTTGAGATTGGCTCTTTCAGTAAGCATAATGACAGTAAGTTATTGCATGTATCAGTAAGTCAGTTCTTTTTATTGCTGAGTAGTATTTCATTGTGCGGATCTATCAGAGTTTGTTTAACCATTCGTTCATTGAAGGGCTTTGGATTGCTTCTGGTTGTGGGGTATATGAATAAAGCTCTTACAAATATTCTTGTACAGATTTGCATGATCACAGGCTTTCATTTCTTGGGGAGAATTCCCAAGAGTGCAATTGCTGATTTTTATGGTAAGTACATGTTAAGTTTTATGAGGAACTGCCAGATTATTTTCAACTATGGTTGAACTAGTCTACATTTCCACCAGCAGTGTCTAGATTCAGTTTCTTCACATCCTTGCCTATATTTGATGTTAATTGCTATTTTCTATTTTAGCTATTCTAATAGTATATGAGATCTCATTGTGGTTTTAATTTGCATTGCATTTTCCTAATTATTGGTGTTGAACATTTTTTCATATGCTTATTTGCCATTTGAATTTCCTCTTCAAATGTCTGTTCATGTCTTTTGCCCATTTTGTAATTGGATTGTTTAGTGTCTGCATGGTATTATTTTCTCAACCTTTTACTTTCAGCATCTCATATCCATATATTTTCTTTATGTTTTTTGTAAGCTCTTTATAGTGAAATTTTAAAATCAGCGTTTTTTAACGTGAGCATGTATATCATATATGTATAGTGTAAAGTGCATAGTATGTGCTAAGCAATGTTGGAAGTGCTATATATATTTACTTATAGCTTCCAACTTTTGTTTGGCTAATTTATCTGTATTTTCATCCTATTCTTGAAAATTATATTCCTTGGTTGTAAACTTTAGCTTTGCAATTATATTCTTTTCCCACATTGAGGATGACATTTTGCTGTCTTCTGGCTTATATTGTACTGACTTACTAGTTTATAAATACTGTTCCTTTCAAAGTAATATGATTGCTTTAATGTTTTGTTTGTTTTCTACAATTCTTCTTATTGAGTTTAATTCTGTTTGGCTTCTTGAATTTTATGCTGTTCTACTCAGATAGGGGCCTGTGCCTTCATTTGTCTTTTGGTACTCCCATGAATCATAAGTTAAACTTCTTTGTCCTTTCTTCTTTATATTCTTTTGATTTCTCTTCCAGTTCACTAATTCTAATAGCTTTTTCTAATCTGCTAATAAACTTGTCCATTGAGTTTTTAATTTCAGTTTTTGCATTTTTGTTTTAGAAGTTTGACTTTTTGTTCTAGTTTGCTCTCTATAATTTCTTGAGTTATTTTAGACTTTTATTTCTTTAAAACAATAAAATAGTAGTTTTGTAATCTGTTTGAGAATTGTAATATGTGAAGTCTTTGTGTATCTTGTCTTGGTGCCTGGTATTTCTGCAGATTTTTGCATACAGTGTCATGTGGCCTTAGGTGCTTGAATATTTTTGACTTGATAATGCTCATTGTCCTAGAAACCTCATGGTGGGGATTCTTTGAGGTATAGGATTTTACTTACATTTGGTGCTTTGTGGTACTACCAGTCAGGGGTCACTGCATTTATGTGTTGAGGTTCTCTGGACAATTTAGGTAATGTGAACCATAGCAAATGTGCAGGCCCATGGCAAAAACTAATTAGCTGAATCTGTTATTATATTGCTCTGCTTAGTACCAAGGCAACTTTCTCTGCTGTTCCCTGTAGCTGTTGATGGGGGCATGGGCGCATGGTGATTTCTGGCTTATCTTTGTGGGTGTTATCTTTTTGGAGACACAGTAGTATTGTGCACTCATGTCAGGAGGGTCTCTTTTTTGATGTTCTACCTTGCCAGGTTAAGAGTTAGCTCTGTCCCCCTTGCCTCATAAGACCACCAAAACTGAATACTAGATTTGTCAGTGTTGGCAGATGCCCTCAGGGTATAAATGGATATAATGCTCAGTGCTCCATTTACCTCTCTGGATTCCTGTATTCTTTTTTATTTGGGACAAGTAATTTGTTGTGCTTTAAAAAGTAAGCTTATTTTGGATTTTTTTTCTATTATTTATAGTTTTTGTAGTTGGAGGGTTAGTGCAAATAACCCAACTTACGATTAGTAGAAATGAAGTGAAAATACAATTGAAAAAAATTGGGGAAATGCTTAATAAAATGTTTTTCATTAATTAGATAAGTGAATTACTATAAATTAGGAAGTAGTTATAAATTATTTGGTTGGGGGGACAGTTACTTTTCATGTTTATTATTAATTTTGTTTATGCCTATTTTTTTGTTTGCTTCTAACAGTTTTCTTATTTTAGGGGTAAAAATATTTCCATCATGGCTCACTCAAAGACAAGAACCAATGATGGAAAAATTACTTATCCTCCTGGTGTCAAGGAAATCTCAGACAAAATATCTAAAGAGGAGATGGTGAGACGGTTAAAGGTGAGTAGAATTGTGTTATGTTTTGGGACATCTGTTTAGGGTGGGGGGTTACCTGTGGAAATCACATACGGCTGTATTTTGTTAGGGCACCTTAAAAAAGCAAATGAAAGCTAAAAATGGCAGGGAAAGGATCAAGGAGAGGGGAAGTAGGTACAAAACTGTAGGGTTTCCTTAGCTACTGTTAATGGGAGAACAACTGGAAAGGTGAAGCTTAGATTTTCTAGGGCCTCCAATACTTGGGTATAAAGAATAAATCTGTAGTACTCTTATATTCATTGTTGTCTGTATAAAGTTCTCCTTTGTCCTTTATCTCATTTATTTTACAAAAACAATCATTTTAATCTAAGAAAGGAAGTTTTAAGTCTTTGTACTGAGCACTCAGGCTGTATTTTACTTGGAAGTTATTTTGGAGTAGGTTAAAGAGCTTTACTTTCAGCTTTTCTCTCTGCTTCTGATATGCAGCAACGAATCAAGATTAATGGTGACCTTCCATAGATGAGGTGGTCTCTGTATGGCTAGAGTCTCTTTATATGTGTTTGAACAATATTTTACCTTTTTTCAGGGCAGTGCTAGTCCCTGTGATTGTAAAATGGTTAAAGGAGCAGGGTGGCCAAGCAGAATGCTGAGCTGATTTATCAGTTAGTTGAGATGTTCTTTATTTTTGAGCATTTTCCCCCTTCTAAAATTGTATCTACCTAGACGTTTATGTTGCTTGATACATTATTATTTGTCTCTATTTCAAGACTGGAAAACCTGCATTAATTAGTCATTGAAGACCCTGGAGCCTTAAGGCAAAGTACTGTTTTATAGCTGTTGCTGCATGGTTTATTTTTATTAGAAGAAAAGGACTCTAATACTCATAAATTCCATGTAAAGTCTTAGTTTTGTGAATATAGTATTAGAATGTCAGATATCAGATTTTTTTTATTCAAAGGAAAAGACATCTTTGAGCAGATTAAAATTACTGATATGTGCTAGTTAGGAACTTGTGTATATTTTGTTAAACATAGTGAAGCTACAAATCCTTTGTATGTGACACTTTTCATTTTCTCTGTATCAAATTCTCTTGACCTCGTTGAATTTTTAGAGAAGTGAATACTTTATTTCCTCAGATTAGTTTATATTTTAGCAATGATAGGTAAACATCTCTGTTTGCTACGAAACTGTTAAACGCAGAAGCTATACTTATAAGTTGATTAGCATTTCCTATCTTTTAGAGATATTTCCTCAGACATCTTCTTTAATAGATGACTTATACATGAGCAGTTGAGTTTAATAATACCATTTGAATTGTAGACAGTTTTGAGGAATTCTCATTATCTAGCCCTTGCGTACACTTTATTGTTAGTTTTGGTGGAATGATTTCCACAGTGTTCACATTTAGTGTTTGTAATATGTTTTCATTATTTTTTAGACATTTATGCCCAGCAGTAATCTAGTTAATATACTTTTTTCATTTATTTTCTTAATTTACACTTATTATTTTTAGCAACCTTCTTAGAGAAATATAAAAAGGATTTAATGTGGGCTGACAGTAATTTTTGATATGTACAATTACAGGAGTAAGTTTTATAATTTAAAAGTTTGTTAACATAAGGTGTCATTATTTATTATATAATTTCTAGAGTTTCCTATAATATTCTATTCAAAATATACTGAATCTCTCTTTTGTGAATAGAGTCTAGAAAAAGAAATGGTTTCCTGCATGTAGGTCTTTTTTTTTCTCCTTTGCCTCTTTTCATGATATGCCTAAGCCATCAAACATATATCTTAAGATAATAAAATTTAAAAGTTAGGAAAGTAGTTCTGGACCTTGTACCCATAAACTAACTATAGTGCCAGACTGGAAGGATTAGTCTACAGTTGGTTCTGGCATCTGGTATAGTAGACTGAGGGCCTGCCCTGTGAGGAACACTGTTCCCCAGCAAGGCATTGGAGAACTTATTACTCAGAAATCTAACTCTGTAGCAGAGTAGAAATCCTTGTATTTTTCAAGGACCAAATCATAGATACTGATAGTTGGTGGCCAGCCCTACTTGTTGATTAGTATTTGCAGCACCACCTAGTGGATGCCAGATGGTCACCTTTCCATTAAGAGTTTTATTTAAATGTGTGTTCCTGTCAAGTTAGGCAATTTAATGTCTCATTTGAGGTAAGAATAGTATGACTGAGGGTTCATTGTGACAACTAATACTGAAATTAGAAAAAGCTTTTTATAAAATTCAACTAGTACCATTCCTCACCATTTTTATTTCTGTCCTACTACTTTTATGTAAATGTTTTTGCAAAAGGAACCATTTCCTATAGGTTCTTTCTGCTTACTCCATACGTGCCATTGAGTCCTACTAATAAACTGTCCATGTCATGTTCTCTTTTACTGTGGCACAAGAAATATTTTGTTGGATGCTATGGTAGTCACTTTGTGGTAGCTTTTTAACGTTTAGGAATACATCTTCATCATCCTTTCTTAAATCTGTTTATTCTTTTTTAGCTGAATGTATAAATCCATGTATCTGGAGTGGTTTATGGGTCACATGGAAGAATAAATTGTTTTCTTCTTTTCCTAGGTTTTTTCTTTAGAAGTATAATAAAAGGAGTAGGTATATTATAAAAAGGGGTTGCTCTTTTTAAGAAGGACATAATCCATGTAGTCCATTTGTAAAAGTGAGACCAGAAACTCCATGCAAGGCTAGTTTTAAACTTTTTATCTGGTTAGCAGGTATGATGGGTACATGAAAAGTATTTTAGTCTTTTAAAGAAAAATTATTTTTCTTGTAGTTTTAGAAGGATCTTGTTCTCTCAGATACTTTCAAAGGAAAAATGAAAGTACTGTGTATTTTTTATTTGAAGGTTAATCTTTGCAATTAATAGGGTTGTTATTTCAAATGACTATTCAAATGAAGGATTTCATTATTTCATTATTTTGTTTTTGAATAGATGGTTGTGAAAACTTTCATGGATATGGACCAGGACTCTGAAGAAGAAAAGGAGCTTTATTTAAACCTAGCTTTACATCTTGCTTCAGATTTTTTCCTCAAGCATCCTGACAAAGATGTTCGCTTACTGGTAGCCTGCTGCCTTGCTGATATTTTCAGAATTTATGCTCCTGAAGCTCCTTACACATCCCCTGATAAACTAAAGGCAAGTACTGATTTAAAGAACTTCCAAGAAATACTTTCATTTATCTTTCTAACTAAAATGGGACTTAAAGTATTTAGATAATTTCTTGGGATTCTTTGACATTGACTACAGCAATCTTTTGTTAAACAACTTTTTTTTTTTTTTAAACAACTCCCCCACTCCTCATTTAGTACTTATTTTGTAAAACAATTTTTGATCTTTAGGATAAGAAGTAGATTAATGCAGTGTATTCTATACTTTTTATATTATCATTAGTTCTATTTCAAAAACACTTGGTGGGGGGGATACTTCCTTTTCCCTTTTGAACATCTATACTGAAGACCATATTCATTATTTAAAACATAGTATGTAGTATAAGCCTGAATTTATACTATATGAATCCTAATGTGTGTGTGTGTGTGATGTGAATTGTTTGGAAGAAAATACAGTGAACAAAATTTTAATGAAAAGGTAGAAAAGACACCTAGTACTTGGTTAAAGTAGTTGTAAGTAAAGCCATATGAATGGAAAATCTTTAAAAGATGGAAAAAGGGGAATAGCATGATTAATTCAGCTGCTGGAAAGTGTGAAATTACTAGAGCTGTACAAAAAGATATTGAATAAAACAGATTAGATAACTAGAAAAATCAGTAGTAATAAAAGGTAATTGTGGGGGGTCCTGGGTGGCTCAAGTCAGCTAAGTGTCTGCCTTCAGCTGAGGTCATGATCCCTGGGTCCTGGGATCCAGCCCAGTGTCCAGCTCCTTGTTCAGCGGGAAGTCAGCTTCTCCCTCTCTTCTCTCTCTGCCCCTCCCCCTTGCTTGTGCTCTCTCTCACTTTCTCTCAAATAAAATCTTTTTTAAAAAAAGAGATAATTGTGGAAATTGTGGGTTAGAGAATGAGTCTATAGGAAGATTATTAATACCAGTGTGGAGAAAATGATGGCAATTCAGGTTTATTTCATTTAACAAGTATTGATGTTAATTATGTGTTAGGAACTGGATTTACAGTGGTGAAAAAGAGTCCTGATATGATTCCTGATAATTGGGAGTGAGGAACCTGCTCATTTGATCAAGTCTGCCAAAATTCTAGCGTGGAATGCCCAAACTGGTTTGGGCATGATTGTTTAATATTTTAATTGGTAAAGAATCTCAGGATACTGACAGTATTTGTCACTTGAAGGTAGAATTGAAATGTAGAATTTGAAAATGGTCAGAGGTTTAAGTAGATAACATGAGCTGATCTGTGGAGTTGTGTACCCAGGTATATATTTTGCTGTCTAATTATAAACTTCTAATTTGGAAATGGCCTGTGGGGCTCTTCCTTACTAATGTCTTGTTGTCATTCTTATGAAGAGGAAGGTCTAATTTAAGAGTGCTGCTACAGGTTTCTTCTACCTCTCCTGTGTTTCTCAGTTTGCATAATCATTGACATCTCAGGGCTTTGGGGTAATAAAAAGTCCTCCTAAAAGAATACCTACACGTCTGTCCCATTTATAACAGGACAGTTTATAAGAAGAATATTGAGCTGTGATTAAATTAGTCTTTTGGGATTATTCCGTAGCTGAAAAATTTACAGTATCTTACTTTTTCTGGTCAAAATTTTTGGTCTTCTTTAAATGCGTCTTTTCTTTTTCACTGTTGATTAGCATAAAATTTGTATTTTTCTTTGTCTGCAGTGGCAGGAATAGAAAACTGTGACACTTTGCTCATACTTCCACTGTAAATTTATCGTTATCAGAAAACTCTTTTTATACACTTGGCTTCATGTGTAGGTCAGTGATTGTTGGAAAGGTTATAAATGAGTGACTGTTGTCTATCTCCAGGTAGTCATTGTGGCACTTGGTTTTCTTTTAGTCACACTAGGAGGATTTATTCACAAAAGATGTATTTTGTACAGTACTACTGTCAAAGTGACCATTTTTGAAGGATATAATTTCCATAGTATTTTTTTGAAAAGCTAGTCATTAACTGCATAGTTTTCCCTTTTAAAAATATTCTTATTTATCATTTTACTTATACGGAAAACATTTTTTCTCTTTTTATTTATTTAATATTATTTATATTTAATGATTAGCATGATTCCTTTGCAGAATTAGCTTTTATAATTACCCTTTTCCAAAATTTTAAGAACATCCTCTCCATAAAAATTGCCTTAAGGGACATGAACCTATCTATATCCAGGTAAAAAAGGAAGATGTAGTAAAAAATCAAAAGCCAACAGATGGAAATAGATTGAGAAATGGTGGGAAAGAACAAGTAACTTTAATGATTAGGTAGGAAGCTTGAAAGTTACCTTCTACATGTCTTTTTAAAATTTCTAAGTTTCTGTGATCTTTTGTCTTTTCACTTGGTGATTTATTTTGGAATTCTAAGTTTCCTACACTGTGTTTTTGCTGTATAATTACCTATATAATGCTGTTCAGTAAACCTAATTAGCTCTCAGTTACATTATTAGTATAACCTTTGTTACTAGTATGTAATACTAATACTAGTAACATTATAGATATAACTTTTGTTATACTGATAATAGGATAAATTTTGGTTTACTAGTTTCCGGGTCTAGTTTTTTAACTTGCTTTAAGATGAAGTGTTTCATTCTCTAAGATCATAGTAAACTATTTACTATTTTCCTGTGAAGAGTAATAAGATATTTAGTGTTTTCATATGAGAAGGTTTTATATGATAAGGTTCTTTTAAGAAGTTCCAGCCAAATACAGTTTTCCCCCTGGTTTTTAAATTTATCATGGTGGATACACATGAGTGCTGAATTAGCTTTAGGAAGTTAGTGAATATTTTCATTTAACATTCATAATCTAAATAATACTTTGTCTCTCTTTTTTGAAGGATATATTTATGTTTATAACAAGGCAGTTGAAGGGGCTAGAAGATACAAAGAGCCCACAATTCAATAGGTATTTTTACTTACTTGAGGTAAGCAGTATATCTTACAATGACATTTTAAATTGGTTTTTGTGCTTGTATGTTTTTACTAATTAAAGTATTTAACCTTTCTTTTTTTTTACTTCTTATTTTTAGAACATTGCTTGGGTCAAGTCATATAACATATGCTTTGAGTTGGAAGATAGCAATGAAATTTTTACCCAATTATACAGAACATTATTTTCAGTTATAAAGTAAGTTTATTTTATTAGGCATGTAACTTTTTTTTAATATAAAGAATTTAGAACTTACAGGTGAATATGTATAAACTATGTTATGAATATTTGGAAGGCTAAGAGTTGTAACTTAAGAACTCATTAACATTTTTTAGAGATGTTTTAAAAATGAATAGAACTTAATTTTGTATTGTAAGGTATATACAAGAGTGGCATAAAGCATCTATAGCCAATATAAAAATATTTTTTGGCTTATATTTTTATCTTTTAATTAAATATTACTCTCTGATTCATGTAAATAGTTGAGTTTTTTGGTGTATTCTTTAATATCTATTAGAATTAACTTCAAAGCAATTTGATTTTCTGAACTTAAGGTAAAACTAAAGATGACATTTGATTTAATTACTTTTGATTGTGAGACTGGTTAAAATTAGGGAAAAGTAGTCCAGGAAATGTAGTTTAAAAATATATTTTTGATACCACTGTAAGATTTGGGAGAGGGGGAAACTTTAAATGAATATATGGAATTTGATTTAATTAATATTTTAATATCATGTTTTATAAAATACTGTTTGTCAACACCATGTTATGAGTAAATCCTGTACACTTTAAATAAAATATCTATTTTGAATTTCAGCAATGGTCACAATCAGAAAGTTCACATGCACATGGTAGACCTCATGAGTTCTATTATTTGTGAAGGCGATACAGTATCTCAGGAGCTTTTGGATACAGTTTTGGTAAATCTGGTACCTGCCCATAAGGTAAGTAGCAATATATACTGAAATATGTCTAAAGCCCGTTAATATTAAGGTCAAGAGTTTGTGCTTATGTTCTGAATATAATTTTTCCTGCTTCAGCCTTAGTTTTGGAGGATCTGTTTTAATTGATTAATGTTAATATTAGTCATGTTTAATGTTTAATGAAACACGGTACAGTTGTAGTTACTAATTAAATAGATGTAGTTTATATGATAAAATATCTGTAATAACTCAGTTTTGTATAGGATATGTTTTAGGAGTGATAGCTACTTAGATGCTGTCACATAACTTTATATGTCAGGAGATGCTGAAACCAATTAGAGCCTTAAGTGAAAGATAGCAGTAGTGTAGGTGGAGAGGAGGGGTGAAATTAAAAGGGAAGTCTTTACTAATTTGTAGATAAAGGATATGTTGATGACAGTGTTTCTTCCCTGGGTGATGTTAATCAAGATGTGTGTTTGTGTGTCATGTTCCTTGAAAATGATTAACTCTTCCAGTAAACAGTTGAAAATAATGGTTCTTCTGTGAAAGAGAGAAAAGAGAGAGGTTAAAGAGAGGGACCAGTCACCAGTATAAAGATCTGTGCAAACTGAAGACCTTTTTGGCAAGGTATAATCTTAAGTTTTATAGGTATATGACATTCACACAAATAGTGCTTCAATGGAAATGACCTCATAATTTAATATTTCCAGACTCTTAAAGAAAATAGTCCATCAATGCTGAAAATCAGATACTGCAAATAGACTTAAAAATTCATATAATACATTAGATAAAAATAATAAATAACCCTTAAAAGAATTTAAGACAACGTATGCTTAAAAGGATCAAAGACATAAAAATAAGAGTTAAAAACATGATAGCTAGATATATGAAAGGAGAAGTTTAGGAAAAAGGTAAAAATGAGAAATGGTCATTGAAATTAAGATCCCTATAGGATTATAAAAGATATTTAGAGAACTGGGACACAAATCAGAGGAAATTACACAGATAAAGAGAGATAAAGTAAACATAAAAGGTACTGAGACATGAAATATAGAATGAAAAGGACCAGTATATTTAGTAGTGATTTCAGAACACAAAGTAGAAAGTGAAGAAGAAATGTTTAAATAGGAATTTGCTTAATATATTCCAGAACTGTTGAAAAGCATGAATTTATGGTTTAAGTAGCAAAAGTGTCATGAGAGGAATAAATAAAAATAAATCCCAGTCCAGGAACATCCTGGAGAAGTTGTAGAACACCAAACCAGAGATAATCTGTAAAGCACCCAGAGGGAAAAGGCATAGCTCTCACCAAGGAATAATGATTAAACTGATTGCTCACTTCTCAGTGGCAAGGATAGATGCCGGAAGATAATGGAACTATATTTCCAAAATGCTAAGATAAAATAATTGTGCATTTGTGTGTATATATGTGTGTAGTTGCATATCCAATTTGAGTGAAATTAAGACATTATTCATTTGTCAAGATTCTTCATGAAAGAACTACTATGTGAGTACTGTAGAATGATGGAAATTGAATTAATAGAAGCAAGGAAGAAGAAATAATGGTGAACAAAGAAATGCTTTAGATAAGAACTGATCTATAAAAAAAATAGTAGCAGTAATAATTATAATGATTAATTAAAGAGATTAACAAAATGGTCCTGAACTACTGGATACAAATAATGTATAAGATTGACTGGCTTAATGGAGTTAATGAGTCATCTAATCTTGGTGGTGATCAGGAGTATAGAGCTATTGATTAACTTCTAACTTGAAATGAAGTATTCATATTAAAATTTTCAGGATTATAGTAAAAGGAATTACAATAAATATAAATGGTCTAAATTTACTACTTAAAACAGATTGTCAGATTTGATTGAAAATAATCCAGCTGTCCAATAAGAGATAAGAAGAAAATACTGTCACAAAAAGGTTGAGAGCTTTTAAAAGGATGGAAAAAAGACTTGCCAGGAATGTACTAACTGAAAGAAAACTGAAGCAGCTTGTACTGATATTAGATGTAATCGCCTTTACTGGGTAAAGAAGGAATTTGTAGAAGGATAAATGGTTTAGTTTCAGGAAGGTATTCAAACTTGCATGTACATAGGCTGGAAATATATTAAGTATAAATTGAAAGAATTATAAAGAGAAAAAAACACCCACAACTTGGTGGGCCATTTTATATCACTTCTCCCAGTGATTATAAATTAAATAGATCAGTAGTTTATGAAAAGCATATTGAGAATTTGAAATAAAAACAAGTTTATAACAACCATAATTTATCAAAAGAATAAATCATAATGGCAATTATAAAATATTTAAAAAAGAATTAAAATGATACTTATTAAAACTTGTGGGATAAAACTTAAAATGTTTTTTAAATCTAATTTTATTAGCTAAGTGTCCAAGAAGTTATAAAAATATCAGAATATACAGAGTATGTAAGGAAGAAAAGAAGGAAATACAGAAATCAATGAAATAGAAAATGCAGTGATGGGTGCTTGGGTGGCTCAGTTGGTTAAGCATGTGCCTTCAGCTCAGGTCATGATCTTGGAGTCCTGGGATTGAGTCCCGCATTGGGCTCCCTGCTCAGCAGGGAGTCTCCTTCTTTGTCCCTCCCCTGGCTTATGCTCTCTCTCTCTGTCTCTCACTCTCTCTCTTAAATAAAAATTAAAAAAAAAAAAAGAAAATATAGTGACATTTCACAAAACCTCAAAGCTGGCCATTTGAAAAATGTATTAAATAAGCAAATCCTTGGCAAGTTGAATCAGGAAAAAGGAGATCTCAGTATCAATATACAGTTTTAGAATGAAATGGGAACAGTAGCCATTAAAAAAATAAAAAGATAATCCTATGAAGAATATTTTATGGTAACATACTTGGAATTAGGTAAAAGAAATTCCTAGAAAATATAACTTGCCAAATTTGTCTTGAGAGAAAAATCTTGAATAACCTTTAACCAGCAAAAGAAATCTAATTGGTTTTAAAAACCATATTCATAAAATGAACAAAATCTCTTCCTCCCAAACAACAGTGGCAACCTAAATAGAAGCAAGAGCAGCAGAACACAAACCTACCACAAAAGAACTTAAACTGAGTCAGGAGATACCTACTAATCATTTGAGTAGCATTACAGTCTTAATATCAAGCAAACTTTTCCAAATTATAGAAAAGGAAGAAATGCTCCACAGTTCACCTTATGAGTGGAATATAATCTTCATAGGGAAACTAGACAAAACTAAGCAAGTAAGAAGAATCATAGGCTAATTTAATCTAAAGTTATAATCACATAAATTCAACATGAAATAATAACATTTGGAATGGTATAAACTAATATTGATAATGAGCAAACTGGCTTTATTTTAGGAATATAAGAATGGGTTAACATTAGAAAATGTTTACCATAGACGAAGATATTTATGTAACTTAACAGATCAAAGAAAAAATATCAATAGATGTAGAAAAAGACCATGTGATAAAGTTCAGTATAATTTATGATAAAACCTCTTAGCAGATTTGAAATAGAAAGGAACTTCCATTAAATGATAAGGATATATATGATACTGTACTTCATGGTGAAATGCTGAAGCTTTTTTTTTTTTTAAGTTTAGTAACACTTCTACTCAGGGAAAAGGCAACATTGCCATTCTAATTAGCATGAATTTAAAGGTCTTAAGTTAGTGGAATAAAATGAGATAAAAGATAAAAGGATCAGAAAGAAGAAATAAACTGAAATTATTTGCAGATAATATGACTGCAGAAAACACAAAACCGTATACAAATAAGTTTCTAGAATAAGCAAATTTTGCAAGGTTGCTAGATATAAGTTCAGTATATGCAAAACTGTTGGTATAAGTTAATAAATCTGTAGCTTTAACAAAGACTTGAACTGCTTAGCAAATTCTCAAAAATGTGCAACTTTATGTTAAATCATTATAGTTGACAAAAAAGTATAAAGACTTAAATATGCTGCGTGATTTGTTATATTTATGGGATGGGAAACTCAGTAGTATCATAATGATGCCAGATTTCTGCATAGGAATAGATAATCCAATCAAAAGAGAAAGTCTGAACATGTGTGGGAGATTTGACAAACTGATTTTAAAATTCACATTGAAGAGCAAATGGCCAATAATAGCTAACCATTTTTGGAGAGGAATAGAAAGTGTGGACTTATTCTACCACCTGGTGTTAAGACACTGTTTACATATATCCCTTTGACTATAACCAGGCAGTAATAGACAAAGGGACATATGGAAGTAATGGAGAATTTACAAGTGGCTCCATAGTTATAGAAACTTGAGAGTGTGGGTATTATAGGTCACTGCAGGGAATAACAGACTATTTAATGACTTGTTTTAGGGTAATCAGATATCCATATGGGAAATAATGTTATTTTTACACCATACATAAAAATAAATTACGGGTAGAATAAAGTTCTAAATCTGAAAAACAAATCTTTAAATTTTTATTTGGAAATATAAAGCAACATCTAAATCTCATTGTAGAGGAGAATTTCTTAAGAAAGATACAGCAAGCACAAGCCAAGTAGGAAAATATTGATATATTTGATTACATTGTCTAGAAACTTCTCTATCTCTAAAATACCATAAACATTGTGAAAAGACAAATACAGACTAAGATATGTTATACATAAAATTGACAAAGTTTTAGTGTGTAGAATTTATAGAATAAGTAAATAAGGACAAAAAAGCCCATATGAAAAATGGCAGAGGTGGAATTTACAGAAAATTATTTCTTACATGCCCAAAGAGTCATGTACAAGACATACAATTTAATGTCTGTGAATAGGAGAATGAGAAAATAAGCTGTAGTATATTATATGGTAAAATACTAAACAACAATTACAAATGAAATAATTCAATAGAAGCATCAGTGCAGGTAAATCTAAAAATATGCTAAATGTGGGTTTCAGGATATCTACAGTATACCTGTTTTCTGTAATGTTTTTAAATTGGAATAGCAATTCTCTTTTAGATCTTTGGTCTTGATTGTTTTTGTCATCATCAGAATCTCTTAGAAACATGTTTTCTTAAGATATTTTTTTCTTGTACCTTTTTTCTTTTCATATTTTACTGTTTGCTATGTTTCTTATTGTATCATTGACCTTATCTATGCTGAGATGTGCTTGAGTAAATCTGTTCCATAGCTGCCCCAAACTCTTGTTTTTTCCCAGCTGTGGGCCCTCCATTCTTGTTCACATTAGAACCCAGTTCATTCTCTTAGGATGTTTTGGTTCTTCTGGACCTGGGGTAAAACAGCCTGTATTTGTACTCAGCTGAACTGATTTGACTTCGGGACTAGGTTTAGAATGACTGTCTACTCTTCTATCTGATAAACTTTTGTTGGTCTTTTCTATGGTTTACCTTATGCTGTGAATGAGATAGGAAGAAAATGTAATTATCCTTCCTTGGAAGGGATCTTATGATGTAGGTAGACCAGTTAGTCTTAAAAGAAGAAAAGTGGCTTTGCCTTCTCTTTTGTTCTAATTGAGTTTAGTTTTCTCATTCATTTACTCAGGAGTAGCTTTTGGAATACAGGTAATATTTTGTTTTTCATAGTTAGAGATACGTAATATAGATATTGTTTATGTTTTTCAGAATTTAAACAAGCAAGCATATGATTTGGCAAAGGCTTTACTGAAGAGGACAGCTCAAGCTATTGAACCATATATTACCAATGTAAGTCTTTCGTAATTGGTTGTCAGAAGGATTAGCCAACATTTTAAAGATAGCTAGAAGCAAAATTTTGGTAGGTAGTACATACTTTTAAATTTTGTATTGTTTTAATCATTAAATAATATATTTTCTTTCTCTTCCTTATTTAAAATTATTCTTATTTATTATTATATGGAAGGTTAGCTCTCATCTTGTTTGTTCATTCATTTGCTTCTTTCAAATTGCCTAAGAACTAAAATAGGTCTTATTTTGCTTAGCAAGATACACTGCTTGTTTCTAATGTTATAAATAAGCTAAATGTAATTAGATAAAACATATGGAACTTCTCATTATTCAAGGAAGTTACAGCTTTTTGGAGATTAAATTGATTTATACAATAAGTAGATATGAATTAAGATCAAGACTGTATAAAATTGAAGGCAAATATGAATGGTAGCAATTTGGTGACAGTTGTCTATCTTGTTGTCCCTGGGGTAGATCAACCTTTTCTGAAAAAGGGGAAGAATTGCGATGATGTGAGCCCCTCAGTATCATCCGAAATCCGCTTATTTACAATTGACCATCTTTTAGCTATTTTCAGAAGAAATGTATTTTAGCTGATAGGTACACTGATAAAAGCTTATTTTAAGTTTTATTTTCTCTCCACCCATAGTTCAATTGAGTTGCACAACTCTTGAGGGCACCATTCACATGGAATGTATGCACATGAATGGTGCCTCCTGGAACAAATCTAGAACACAGTGTTAATGTTGGCCTCTGGAATTATGTAGCAGTTCTTGCTACTTCACACTTTGACCCACCTTCAAATATGTAAAGGATGTTAATCTGTCTCTTGAAAAAAAGTGAGAAACAAAGTCATGTATAATCACTTACGTATTTAATTTTCCTGGTTTATTGACGGAGCATGTTTCCTGTAGTGTATAAAAAATAAAGTCAGTATATAAAATACATCATGAAAAGATGTGCTTTGCAAAAGTAACAAACTTTATAGAACAGTATCTTGGTAAATCCCAGTTTTTGTTTCTGGCTTATGACCTTAAATAATTCTAAACACATGATGATTTGGAAAAATGTATTTGATTTGTAAGGAAATTGTTTTGGAGGGTGAACTTTCAGAAGCTGGACAAATTGTGTAATCTATTTTAATGGCTCCAAATTGTCAGGGAATTCTAAATAATGATTTCTGCAAGTTTTGTGAATCTTGGGTATTGGCCAGAATAAATTGGTTGGATTGAGTGGGTTGAGTTTTTTTCATTATTGACCTAATGGCTTTTGAAGTGTGTAGACCCCAGACATAAGCATTCTGTGTGTGATTAATTAGCCTTCCCTTTTCCTTTGCTTCAAGTGCATCTGAATGACTATCTCCATGGCCCATTAGATACACTAGGTGAGCTCCTCCTGGTGGTCACTTATTTAAATTGGTATTGCCAAGCCAGATGTTTTTTAGGGGAATACTTAAATTTTTTTGATGCCTTTTTTTCTTGGGGGGGGGGCAAAAAACAAAACAAAAAAGAAATAACACTATACCATGTCAGTATGTTTTCTAGAATTGGGGAAAGAAATATTTGATCGGATAATAAAAGAAGAAAGGGTCCAAGATGGAATGATGGTATTTGTTGGAGCTAGATGATTAGGTTCATTGTGCTATTCTCTCAACATATGTTTATGTTTGAAAATACTTATAATTAGAGCTAAAAGAAAAAGGACCAGAGAAATACTTTGAGCAATCTCAGGTGTTTACATTTCCCTGTTACTAATACCTTATGTTAATTGCCTGTTCTTAGTTCTTGCCTGCAGAAGTAGAACTGCCTCTCCATACTTTCTTGTGGTATCTTTATCAGAAGTTGAGGGGCAAGAGGTGCAAGATTAGAATGGTCCGAGCACACTTCCAATTGTATATTCCCAGTACTTTGTCCATGTTTGATCACTTGTTTTCTTGTTCCTTGCTTTATTTGATGGTTAGCTAAGAAGTCATTAAGAATTGCTTTTTCCCCCTCTTTTGTTCCCTTATACATCTTTTTTTCCTGCCTCAAATTTCGATCTAGTGAACTTAATTGTCTTATAGTATAAAATGAATTACAATATTAAAATATTCTCAGCTTAAAAAAATATTCTCAGCTTTTTTGAATTTGTACATATAGTAGGCATTATTCATTTGTCTTTCTAGTAGAGAATTAGCAAGCAAAAGTACAGGTAGGATACTGAGGTAATAATAACCACATTTCTATCTCTTTTTTACTTATTTTTTTTCACTATCAGGGATATGATATAGACACATGCAAGTTTGTTCTTTAAGTGATTCTTACATATTTAGGACTTAAATCACTGTGGTTATTATTTTAGATTATTATTTTAGGTTATTATAGATTATTTCTTAAAAATAAAATTTGTTCTCACTTGACAAGAAACTAAAAAGTATATGTATTTTTTGAAAAGGTCAAACTATCAGAAACAAAAAGTATTTAGTGACATATCAAAAAATTTTCTGAATGAATCACTTCTTGGTAATTTTATTTTTCATCGGAACTTTTTTTTTTTTTGAGAGAAAGAGAGTGTGCATGTGTGTGAGCAAGCAGGTGGGGAGGAGCAGAGAGAGCATCTTAAGCAGGCTCCACAATGTGGGGCTCGATCTCATGACCTGAGACAAAATCAGGAGTCGGGACACTGAACTGACTGAGCCACGTAGGCGCCCCAACAATAAAGTATTTTTTAATTACTGTATGTATATGGTTTTTTTTAAAGACATGATGGTATGGTACACTTAATAGACTACAGCATTTTTTTTTTAATTTTCAAATGTGGTTTCCCTAGACTGATAAAGAGGACAATTACATCATGTGACAAGGTGACGAGATTGGAAAGGTTTATTGTGGTCTTGTTAAGGAAAGGTTAGATTTACTATTTTTAAACAGAAAATTTATGAATGGAAACAAAGTCATTTTATTTTGAGTCTGAATGAGAATTTAGCCTTTGATGTCATTAAATTCTTTTCCTACGACATTGATAAACAAGGACAACAAACAGGTGAAGAAAGAATAGTAAAATAGAATTTGTTCTTTTCGCCCCTTCATGCCTAGGTAGTTTGTACAGGTTCATAGACATAAGAAACTTCATTTAAGAATAATCTAAGACTTAAAGCAAGCAGAAAAGACATAGAAATGTGAAATATTTGACTTTGTACTTTCCATATAGAAAGCCAGGTTGTATTAACTGTTACTGAGAGGAGAGATGAGGGCTTATGTGGTGTAAAAAATTCTTAAACTACTTCTTCAAGGAGGCAGAAGATACTGTTGAGAATATGTGGCATATGCTTTGGGTTAACTTTTTATGAATTTGGAAGACTTTAAATAGAAAGGAACTGGACCATTATGCCATGTATCTTTACCAGTTTTAGTAGTAATATGGTAAACAATCTGAATGTGGAAACTAGTTATAGCTGGTTCCTTATAGAAACAAAATTGTTCAAATTTGGATTTTCTGTGTGTGTGTGTGTGTGTATGCTTTTAATTGGATTTTAATTAGTGCTGTAAACTTTGTACATATGTACACACTGTTTATCAGAATATAAAAGAAGACAAAAAGGAAAGGATTAGAAAGAGGTTGTTTTACATTATAAATGTAAAATTACATATATTAAAAATGGAATCAGCCCCTTCTATGAAAGGTGCAAGATTTTGTCTTTAATGCTGTTGTCTCCCATACGTACTAAGGTGAACAAGATGTGATCCCTTGACTTTAAGAAATTTATATAGTAGGGAAATTAAGACATGTACACAAATATAACCATGTTACAGGATAAAATAAAGTAAGTACCATAATGGGAAAAGAAGTGCATTTGATAGAGTGTTGATTGATAAGCTAATTGATAAATTAGTACAAATTATCTTTTATTGTATATGAGGTGAATTTCATGTGCAAGGTAAACTAGCCTGTAGTTGTTTTCCACTTACTGTTAAAAATGTTTTGATAACCCTAGTTTGACTTTGTGTAGAATAATGATGAATTTAATTTAATGATAATTAAGATTTTAGAAAATTCATTTTATCTATGGCATTTCTATTAATGATAAATTTTCTTTTTCAAAAGTTTTTTAATCAGGTTCTGATGCTTGGGAAAACATCTATCAGCGATTTGTCAGAGCATGTCTTTGACTTAATTTTGGAGCTCTATAATATTGATAGTCATTTGCTGCTCTCAGTTTTACCCCAGCTTGAATTTAAACTAAAGGTAAATATTTTTAAAATATTATGGTTCTGTCAACCGGATTAGCAAAGAACATTATTCGTTGCTCTTTAATTCTTATGGTAGTTTTAGCTGAATGCTACAGATGAAGTGGTGTATTACTGTTATTTATTTACGTGTTTGTACCTTACCTCTTTGTTTATCCACAATGCCTGGCATGGTGCCTAGCATTTAGTAGCCACTTTTTAATGATGGTATTTTCCTTCAGATAATTTCCAGATAAATTCTAGATTGTGACTAACTTTTGAGGTCTAGCTTCTTTTCAAGGCACAGTTTATAGTGGTTCCCAAGACCTTGATTAGGCTTTAAAAATGGTTTAGGGTCTGTTACCCACATGTTGTAAAGTATTTTCCCTATGTGCATATTATCTTACGCCTATGTTGAAAGCTCCGTTACTTTTCACATAGTTCTCTGGAATCTTTTGGTGGCATGTTCCTATTGCCTTGCCATTAAATTATGCCATAAAATTGAGTTTCATTTGTAGATTTGGGGAATAGTCTTTGCTCTTTCAAATTATTACAGGAAGATTAAAAAAAGCTGGTTATAATTAATCATCTTAGATGAAACCTGATGTAACACCCAGAGAAATTCTTAAATGATTTCCATGTTATATTTCTTGTTTGTAAAAATGTTATCTGTCTGTTTCAAAACAAGAAAATAAACAATCCGTGTTTGTAGTGTGAATACCGCACAAAACTAGCAAGTGATTATTCTCATTTTATTCTGGGGTGTATTTTTGGTGTATTTCTCAAGTGAACCACTTGATCACTGGCCTGCCTGACCCATATTTTCCCATGTAGTTAGCAATTTTGATGAGGCAGAAGGCATTCATACTTTTCAATTTTTTTATTGGTCTGATTTTCTTTTTTTTGTTTGTTTTTTAAAGAATTTATTTGACAGAGAGTTAGAGAGCACAAGTAGGCAGAGCGGCAGGCAGAGGGAGAGGGAGAAGCAGGCTCCCCACTGAGCAAGGAGCCTGATGCGCGGGGCTCCATCCCAGGACCCTGAGATCATGACCTGAGCCAAAGGCAGACGCTTAACCGACTGAGCCACCCAGGCGCTCCGGTCTGATTTTCTTTAATAAAAATAGTGAATACTGTAAGAAATATAAAAGTAAGGAGTTATCATCCCTGTTTTAAGCAAGTTTAACATCTAGCATAGAAGAGGAAAAAAATTCAGATTTAATAAGCCAGATATTGTAAGTGTGCTTAAAAGATAAAGAACATACAATTGAAACAAAGGAAACAGATATAGAAACATATAGAGGTAGGAAGTTGCTGGCTGAATTTGTGGAACACAAAGAATTTTATAGTTGGATAGTGGCATAAAGTAAGTTTAAATCATCCCTGACTGCACATTAGAATCTTCACCTGTGGAGCCTTAGTAAACAAACAGATGTCTGGGCATTAAACCAGAGGAGTTGTTTTGGTCAGAATTTTTGGCAGTAGAGTCCAGGTGTTCAGTTTTTGTGTTTGTTTTTTGTTTTTTTTAGAGTTTAGAGGTCATTTTTTTAGATTGTTTTATTATTTATTTTTCTTTTTGTAATAGCTTTATTCAGATATTCACATACCATAAAAATCACCCATTGAAAGTATACAATTCATTATTTTTTAACATATTCACAGTCATGCAACTGTCATGACAATTAATTTTAGAACATTTTTATCATCCCCCAGAAGAAATCTTATACCCTTTAGTGGTGACCTTCCATTCCGCCAGGACCCCAGCTCAAGACAATCACTAATTTACTTTCTATCCCTATAGATTACCTATTCTAGACATTTCTATAAATGGGACCATAGCGTATGTAGTCTTTTGTGACTGCAGTCTTTAACTTAGCATAAAGTTTTCATGGTTCTTCCATGTTGCAATTTGTGTCAGTTATTCATTCTTTTTTATTGCTAAATCGTATTTCATTGTATGGATATACCATATTTTATCAGTTGATGGACATTTATGTTGTTTCCACCCTTTGGTATTATAAATAATGCTGCTATGTATTATGAATAGTGCTATTATGAATAGTTATGGACAGATTTTTTTTTTAAATTTAAATTCAGTTAATTAACATATAATGTATTATTGGTTTCAGAGGTAGAGGTCAGTGATTCATCAGTCTTGTATCATACCCAGTGCTCATTACATCACATGCTCTCCTTAATGTCCATCACCCTGTTACCCCATCCCTCCAGCTCCCTTCCCTCCAGCAACCCTCAGTTTGTTTCCTATGATTAAGAGTCTTTTATAGTTTGTCTCCCTCTCTGGTTTCATCTTGTTTTATTTTTTCCTCTTTTGGGAGAAGATACTTGCAAATGACATATCAGATAAAGGGCTAGTACCCAAAATCTATAAAGAACTTACCAAACTCAGCACCCAAAGAACAAATAATCCAATCAAGAAATGGGCAAAAGACATTTCTCCAAAGAACACATCCAAATGGCCAACAGACACATGAAAAGTGCTCAACATCACTTGGCATCGGGGAAATACAAATCAAAACCTCAGTGAGATACCACCTCACACCAGTCAGAATGGCTAAAATTAACAAGTCCAGAAACAACAGATGTTGGCGAGGATGCGGAGAAAGGGGAGCCCTCCTACCCCGTTGATGGGAATGTAAGCTAGTGCAGCCACTCTGGAAAACAGTATGGAGGTTCCTCAAAAAGTTGAAAATAGAGCTACCCTACAACCCAGCAATTGCCCTACTGGGTACTCACCCGAAGGATACAAATGTAGTGATCCAAAGGGGCACCTGCACCCCAATGTTTATAGCAGCGGTGTCTACAATAGCCAAACTATGGAAAGAGCCCAGATGTCCATCAGAAGATGAATGGATAAAGATGATGTGGTATATATACACAGTGGAATACTACTCAGCCATCAAAAAAAATGAAATCTTGCCGTTTGCAATGACGTGGATAGAACTAAGAGGGTATTATGCTAAGTGAAATAAGTCAGAGGAAAAAAAGTGTCATATGAACTAACTGATATGTGGAATTTAAGAAACAAAACAGAGGATCATAGGAGAAGAGAGGAAAAAAATAAAACCAGATGAAACCAGAGAGGGAGACAAACCACAAGAGACTCTTAATCATAGGAAACAAACCTGTTTTACTATTATTTTTTTCCTCCAAATTTTTATTTAAATTCTAGGTAACATATAGTGTAATATTGGTTTCAGGAGAATTTAGTGATTCATTATTTAAATACAATGCCCACTGCTCATAATAAGTGCCCTCCTTAATACCCATCCCCCATCTAGCCCATCCCCCACCCGTCTTCCTCCATTAACCCTCAGTTTGTTCTGTCATTAAGAGTCTCTTATGGTTTGTGCTTCCCTCTCTCTCTTTTTTTTTTCTCCTTCCCGTATGTTCATCTGTTTTATTTCCTAAATTCCAGATGTGAGTGAAACCATATGGTATTTGTCTTCCTCTGACTGGCTTATTTCACTTAGCATAATACACTCTAGCTCCATTCACATCATTGCATTTGTCAAGGTTTCATTCTTTTTGATGACTGGGTAATATTCCTGTGTGTGTGTGTGTATGTGTGTACACACACCACATTTAGAGGTTATTCTGGTGTGCCCCTGGGGTTGAAAGTACTTATTTAGAGGAATAATGAGAGAAATGAGAGATGAGTTAGGTCATATTATGGCAGCTCCTTAATGCTAGGCTGAAGCATTGGTTTTAAAAAAAAAGGTGTACAGTGTCTTCATAGCACTTTGAGTATCGGTGTTTTTTGATATGGTCACATTTTATGTTTAGGTGTAGTATTGTGGCTGGCTCAATCATTTAACCATTTTGTCATTTGTTGGAGGTACCAAAATCAATAATAAAATTGAGTTCTTTTCCTGACTTGTTAATTTCAGCCATTCTGACTGATGTGAGGTGGTATCTCATTGAGGTTTTGATTTGGATTTCCCTGATGCTGAGCGATGTTGAGCACTTTTTCATGTGTCTGTTGGCCATTTGGATGTCTTTGGAAAAATGTCTGTTCATGTCTTCTGCCCATTTCTTGATTGGATCATTTGTTCTTTGGGTGTTGAGTTTAAGAAGTTCTTTATAGATTTTGGATACTAGCCCTTTATCTGATAATATCTTCTCCCATTCTGTTGGTTGTCTTTTGGTTTTGTTGACTGTTTCTTTTGCTGAGGGTTGCTGGAGTGGTGGGGGGTGGGAGGAATGGGGTGGCTGGGTGATGGACATTGGGGAGGGTATGTACTATGGTGAGCACTGTGAACTGTGCAGGACTGTTGAATCACAGATCTGTACCTCTGAAACAAATAATACAATATGTTAAAAAAAAAAAAAAGATAGCAGGAGGGCAAGATTGAAGGGGGGGAAATCAGAGGGGGAGACAAACCATGAGAGATGATGGACTCTGAAAAACAAACTGAGGGTTCTAGAGGGGAGGGGGGTGGGAGGATGGGTTCGCCTGGTGATGGGTATTAAGGGGGGCATGTTCTGCACGGAGCACTGGGTGTTATACACAAACAATGAATCATGGAACACTACATCAAAAACTAATGATGTAATGTATGGTGATTAACATAACAATAAAAAATTTTTAAAAAATTGAGTTCTTGTCTCCATGCTACCCATAATAGAGTAAATAAAGCAGAAATTAGTTTTTGCACGTGCAAGGCTTCATCGTATTGTTGAACTCCATTATGAATCTGGTATATGTAGGTGAACTGATGCTCCTTTTGGGAGACTTCACATATTTATTTCTACAAAGAGCTTAACCAGTACAATGATACAGAATTTTCTGTTTACTGTAGGCCTGGCCTCTTCGTGTCTGTTTTTAAAAACCACAGTTTTTCAGAGGTTTGCATAGCTTTGATGTGCAGTTAGTTTTTGAATTTGACTGTGAATGGAAATAAGCCTCAAATTTAAGAGGGGCCTCAAACATTTAATCAAACTTTGGGATGTATTTTCATGTAGGAAGTATGCTTTAACAAGATGATTAATTATTTATTTTTTGCAAAGTATATTGAGCATTTTTATGTATACTTTTCCATCTGGAGTTCATGAAAGTTTTTCTGTGGAATTGGGTGATGAGGAAAATCATGGGAAAATTATAATGACAATATCTACCTGATGGTTTTAAAGCTCTTTGTGTTTTGTTTTAGAGCAATGATAATGAGGAACGCCTACAAGTTGTTAAACTACTGGCAAAAATGTTTGGTGCGAAGGATTCAGAATTAGCATCTCAAAACAAACCACTTTGGCAGTGTTACCTGGGCAGGTATATGATTTTGGTGTCCTTTTTAAAAGTAATATATGTTTCTCTCTATTTATATTATTTAAAAATGCCATCCATGTTTAATATTTTCCTGAAATTATAAAAATGAAGGTTTTATATTTTGAAATTTTTGAGTGTTAGTACTGATTGGCCATATTTACAATTTCCCTTTCTCTTTTCATATTATTTTGCTCTTAGTAATTTTTGAAAGATGATATGCTTAAAAAGCTATCTCAAAAAATATTACAATCATGAAATTAAAATGTGTTATTACATAGCAGTGATTCATTCCAACTGAAAATAAATCATTGTGAGATATTGTAAGGACAAGGGTATCCACAGACTGAATAAATAAATGATATGTATGAACCTCCTTTGTACATTTCTCTTTTAAAGGAAGTGATAACCTGGGTTCCATATATGCTTTTAATGTCCATAAACCTGAAATTGGTTGCAAAATTTTGAGTGTGTTTATATATTTCTTTTTTTCTATGAGAAGGGTTCATTTCATTATGTTTCTAAAGGTATCCCTGACCTTCAATACATTAAAACCACTCAAAGTGCCCTGGCTGAAACCTACTTTGACCCAGAAGATAAAGGAGAATTTTTTTCCTCTGCTTAAATTTTTCTTATAACAAATAATGCAATTAAGTGACAAATACATAGGATTTAAAAACTTACTCTTCTTTTCATATTGAAATATTTGCATGTTATAACCAGTTTTCTTTCCATCTTAATACTAGAACTGTCAGTGATTATAATAAATTTATTCTCTTTTGGCCTTATTTTTCTAATTTATTAAATGAAGTATAAAATTTTATAAATGCTTGCTAAGTGCTGAATTCTTAATCTGATTTATCTCTTATGTAGCTCAGTAATATTTGACAAGGTGCGTTAAATGAATAAATTTTAGCCCGTTGTCATTTTGAGTTTGATTTCTTGACTTTTTTCCTTTAAATACAATGGAAAGTTCTTGGGCAGTAGAGCAGAATAGCTTACATGATTAAATTGTACTACTCAATTTAAAGTCCACTTAATGTGGTAAAACAAAAATACAGTTTTTACTTATAGACATTTACTATATCTTTAAATCAGGACTTGGATTACCCAGACTTTATTTTATAGGTTAAAATTGGTCACATTTCCATTACATTGTAATTTTTCCTTTCCTTTTAAAATCAATGACCTAAAACTGAAACTCACAGATTATTATCACTTTTAAGGAGCTAGAGTATTTTTTAAAGAGGTCTTATTATATTTATTTATAATGGTTAAATGGTACATGTTTAGTTGAAAAATGGTAAAGTACCTAGGGATGGAGTACTTAGATTCAGAACACTCTGGAAACTTTATATGAGACCATAGGCTAAATGTCATAACTTTTTTTTGAGTATACTTCATAGAGCATTTTTTTCTTATAATAAGGTTTTATGAATAATTTGGCGCTCATTTTGAAGATTTTTTTTCTCCTTTATAATACTAAGTTTGTTATGGTATTGGGTGACAGAAGATTTGGAAACCTTTTGATATTACAGAATAAGATATATGAAAATATTGAATGGAAAATTCTCACTTTACTTTGATGTTTTTGTTACTTAACAAGATTTTTTAAAAAATCGCTCTTTTGTGGTCCAGGATGAACTAATGTATATAGGCTTTCAACATCAGTGGTTTAGAGACAGCTAGGCGTCATGGGCTTTATGATGGAGGAACAGGATTCCATCTATGAAATAGTCTTGCTAAAACAGTGAATCTGGATATGATGAAGTATCTAGATCTAACAATTTGTAAGATTTAGGAGAGAAGGGGAGCCTATTAATTGAAACCAGGATAATACAGATGAGCAAAATCTAAACTGTGGAAAAACACTACATACACAAACACAGAACAGCTGCTTCATCAAATAAATTATAAGGAGAAAAAAGATGGAGGAGAAATACAAAATTAAAAGTTACTTAACATATCTTTCAAAGAGTTTTAATGTTTTAGAGATATATACTAAGATATTTACTTCTTCATGTAAAAATTGGCTTTGGTATTAGTAGAAATGTGATGGTTACCTGGTTAGGAGTTAATTTGGGCTCATTTTTCAAGTCATGTAAAATAATACGGGGTTTAGTGCAAGATCTGCCACACTTTTGTGAATGCCCTACATTTAGGAAAGAATACTTTGAAGAAAGTATTTCTTTTCAGACACAGTTTGGGATTTATGTAATGTGTCTTTGACCTATGCACACACATAGGCTTATAAAAACATACATATTTAAAAGAATAATATTTATAGGAAAAATCTTGTCATTCTAATTTTTGTGCTTCAGCCAAATGTGTATTGTTTATACATGCTCCTTAAAAGTACATAGTTCTCACAGACGTCTTAGTTTAATATAGACATTCCAAAGCATTCATAAATATAAAGCTTATCAAAACTTTGTTGAAATAGTCTAGCTTTGCTTTGAATTATTCTACATAACTTGTTTTTTTCTTTTAATTAGAGAAATAAATATAAGTTGAATATAGATTAAACACATAATTGTTTCTCTTATTTTAAAGATCATTCTGTGCCTTTATATTTTATTAGGTTTAATGACATCCATGTACCAATCCGCCTGGAATGTGTGAAGTTTGCTAGTCATTGTCTCATGAACCATCCTGATTTAGCAAAGGACTTAACAGGTATTATATACCCATAATAGCAAATATGCCTAGATATTCTTTGATGAAAAAATTCAGTTTTATGTATATGGGGGAAAAAAATCCCGTTTTTTGGTTACTGTGATTGGTAGAGTCATCTTCTTTCAATTCATCATCCCGGAAGGTACGCTCTGAAGCTAGAATTTTTACTCCTTATACCTGTTAATCTAGAAACACCTATTAAAAGTCAGTTTACCAGTTGAGCGCTGTGAATTGTGCAAGACTGTTGAATCACAGATCTGTACCTCTGAAACAAATAATGCAATATATGTTAAGAAAAAAAAAAGAAGATAGGAGGGGAAGAAAGGGGGGGAAATCGGAGGGGGAGACGAACCATGAGAGTCGATGGACTCTGAAAAACAAACTGAGGGTTCTAGAGGGGAGGGGAGGGGGTTGGGGGGATGGGTTAGCCTGGTGATGGGTATTAAAGAGGGCACGTTCTGCGTGGAGCACTGGGTGTTATGCACAAACAATGAATCATGGAACACTACATCAAAAACTAATGATGTAACGTATGGTGATTAACATAACAATAAAAAAATTTAAAGAAGAAAATTCCAAAAAAAAAGTCAGTTTACCAGAAACAATGAGTTTTTTAGTTTAAGAACAATTCTAAAGATCCTTCAGGTATTTGAATTTGAACTTGACTTTGATGTTCTTTTCTCTTTTAATGTTTTGAGAACTTAGGTAGGCATCATTAATTTGTAAACTATGCTAAATGGAGGTAACTTTTCTGAAATCTGTATAATTACAAGGCATTTCAGAAATTTGCATTTTTGTACTAATAAGGATATCATGTATTTGAATATTGCTCCTCTATTAATTTTTTTTATTTTCTTCTTCTTTTTTTTTTTAATTAAAGATTTTATCTATTTAGGGATGTCTGGGTGGCTCAGTCAGTTAAATGTCTGCCTTTGGCTCAGGTCATGATCCCAGCCAGGGTCCTGGAATGGAGTCCCACATCAGGCTCCTTGCTCAGCGGGGAGCCTGCTTCTCCCTCTGCCTGCCACTGCTTGTGCTTGCGCTCTCTCTTTCTCTGACAAATAAATAAATAAAATCTTAAAGATTTTATTTATTAATTTGAGAAAGAGCAAGCGAGAGAGCACGAGTAAGGGGGAGGGGTAGAAGGGGAGGAAGAAGCAGGCTCCCCACTGAGCAGGGAGCCCCATGGGTAGGGCTTAATCCCAGGACCCCAGGATCATGACCTGAGCTGAAGGCAGAGGTGTAACCGACTGAGCCACCCAAGTGCCGTTAATTTTTTTAAATTAGGAAATTGTTCAGAAAATACAGATGACTATAGTAGCCACTATGTCTTCTTCAGAAATGTTAGCATTTTGCTGTATTTGCTTAAGAGATTTAAAAAAAGGAAAATAAATTGTAGATGTAGTTGAAATGCCTCTCATAAACTATTCTTCCTATTTCCACGGGGGGTAGCCACTCCACTAAATTTGGTCTGCATCCTGTTTGTTTTTCTATCTATGTCACATGTATATTTGTCCATAAGTGATATATAGTATTGTTATGTGCTTTGAAAATTTTATTGAAATGGTATCATTTGAATTTGATGGAGTTGAACTTTCGTACTATCTTACGTTTTTTATTTCCATGCTTCTTGCTTTTTTTTTTCTTTCTGTTTTCTCTTTTCTGCTTAATTGATTAATTTTGTTTGCTTTCATTTTTCCTTTTTTCCCCTGTGGGCTTGGAAGTTAACATTCGCTTTTGTGCTTTTACTGCATAATTGATTAATGAAGTCGAAAGTTAATCAGAATTCTCTAGCTTCTTTCTGAGCAATCAAGGAACCTTGAAAGCTTTAACTCTGCATGTTCTCTTCCCATCATTTACATTATTGTTTGTTATTAGTTATTTACTCTTTTTAAAACTTTACCAACTTGTAGTACATTTTTAAATGATTTTTTTATGGTCTTTGTTTACAGTTCCTTCTTAAATCTTCCTACTTTTGAGTTTCTTTTGATAAAATGATAAAGTGTATTCTTTCATAATATTTTTAACAATAGTTTGTCATAGTAATGCTTTCAGGTTTTGTTGAATTTCTACCAGTTAGGTTTAAACAGCAGGTATTTCTCACTTTCATCATTTTTGGGGGTGATATACTGCCTGGAACCCCCTACCTGCCTACTCATATCTGAATTTGGACTGCTTGGTCTTTGAGCTTCTACTTTATAGTATTGATCTTCAGAAGATCTGTTTTCCTCCCTCTTTCGTCTCCCTCCTCTCTTACTTTCCTTTCATTCTGTTTTGTGTGTGTGTCTGTGTCTGTGTCTGTTTCTCCTTTCTCTTCCTCCTCCTCTTTTCCCTGGATGTTTCTTTTACTGTAACATTCTATTCTTGTGTTATTGATGGCACTGTTCTCTGAAAAAATTAATGATAGTATTTTGGAGAATTTTTTTTTTCCTACAAAATGTTGTTTTAGTTAACTTATTTTTCCCACATGCTTTTGTCTGTATTTTCCATGTTAGAGGCTTTCCTCAAATGCTTGTCATTCGGTAGCTCTATGCTTATAATTAAGAGTGGAGGACTAAAAAAGAGCTGTTTAGAAAGCCCTGAATATTTGGATGGGATTGCTGACTCTGAACTTCGATTTAGGGTGATCAGGGTGGGTTGTTTGTTAGCAAACCTTTAGTTTAAATACTTCTCTTCAACTAGTCAAATTCTCCAATGAAGAGTATCCTATCAGGAGTTTAAAAGTCTAGTTGCTGGTGTCTTTGGGACTCCTGTATTATTACTTTATTCTTTTTTATTATTGAATGGTATTCATGATAATTTATTTATCCACTTTTTTGCTTGGTGAGTTTCTGGGTTATTTTTTGATTTGGGGCTATTAAGACTACTCTGAGTATTGTTACAAGTGTTTCTATGGATTTATGCTTTTATTTCTCTTTGTAACTACTTAAGAGTGAAATTGCTAGTCATAGGGGAAATACATGTTTAATTTTATAAGAAATGACTAAGTTCTCCATATTAGCTGTACTGTTTTCCACTTGCACTACAAATGTTTGAAAGTTCCAGTTCTTCAGTGTTCTTGTCATTTTGAATCCTAAGTCTTTTTGATCATCATCATTCTCATAGGTCTTGCTGTTTTGTTGTGGTTTTAATTTGCATTCTCCTGATGACTAATGAAATTGAGTATCTTTTCTGTGTGTATTACTATTTTCTTTTATGAAGTGTCTGTTTAAATTTTAAATCCATCTTTTAACAATTAGCTTGTTTTTCTTGATTTGTAGTAGTCAGTATATAGTCTGGATCTTTTTTAAAGTATAAAAAAAACTTAAGTAATTTTCCCAAGTCAGAAGTTTAATGCAAAGTTTGTTGTTAGCTAAATAATAGATGTTTTGATTTTTTTTATAGCTATCTAAAATACATTTTAGATGTATATAATTTCACCAATAACCTTTTAAGTCCTTAAACCATGGTTTGGAATGTTTGGATGTTTACCAAAAGATAGTATGTAGTTTTATTTTTTTATGAAACATTTATGTTGTTATGTTATATGACATACAACTACTTTTCTACTTTTCAGCCTCTGGGCACATTTTAATTTTTTTTTCTTTAATTCCCATCACTTATTTCACCTATCCCTCCACCCACCTTCCCTCAGGTAACCATCAGTTTGTTCTCTATAGTTGAGTCTGTTTCTTGGTTTGTCTCTCTCTATTTTTTTCCTTTGCTCATCTGTTTTCTTAAATTCCACATATGAGTGAGATCATATGGTATTTGTCTTTCTCTGACTGAATTCACTTAGCATTATATTCTCTAGCTTTATCCATGTTGTTGCAAATGGCAAGATTTCATTCCTTTTTATGGCTGAATAATATTCCACTGTATGTATTCTGGAATACAGTGGAGTGAGTGAGTGTGTGTGTGTGTGTGTGTGAGATATATCACCACTTATTCATCCATCTATGGATGGACACTTGGGCTTTTCCCTCAGCTTGGCTATTGTATGAACATAATGTTGCAATAAATAGGGGTGCATGTATCCCTTTGAATTAGTGTTTTTGTATTCTTTGGGCGAGTACCCAGTAGTGCAATTACTGGCTTGAAGAGTAGTTCTATTTTTAACTTTTTGAGGAAATTCCATACTGTTTTCCGGAGTGGCTGCACCAGTTTGCATTCCCACTAACAGTGCAAGAGGGTTTCCCTTTCTCCACATCCTCACCAACACCTGTTGTTTCTTGTGTTATTGATTTTAGCCATTCTGACAGGTGTGAGATGATGCCTCATTGTAGTTTTGACTTGAGTTTCCCTAATGATGAGTGATTTAAGCATCTTTTCATGTCTTTTGGCCATCTATTTGTCTTTGGAAAAATGTCTGTTCATGTCTCCTGTCCATTATTTAAATATTGGATTATTTGGGGTTTTTTTGTGTTGAGTTGTATCAGTTCTTTATGTATTTTGGGTACTAACCCTTTATCAGATATGTCATTTACCACTATCTTCTCCTCTTTTCTAGATTGTCTTTTAGTTTTGTTGGTTGTTTTCTTTGCTGTACAGAAGCTTTTAATTTTGATGTAGTCCCAATAGTTTATTTTTGCTTTTGTTTCCCTTACCTCGGGAGACATATCTAGAAAAATGTTGTTATGGTCAATGTCAGAGAAATTACTGCCTATGCTCTCTTCAAGGATTTTTATTGTTTCAGGTCTCACATTTAGGTCTTTAATCCATTTTGAGTTTATTTTTTGTGTATGGTGAAAGAAAGTGGTCTAGTTTCATTCTTTTGCAATGTAGCTGTCCAGTTTTCCCAACTCCATTTGTTGGAGAGACTGTCTTTTTTCCATTGGATATTCATTTCTCCTTTGTCGAAGATTAATTGATCATGTAAGTGTGGGTTTATTTCTGGGTTTTCTCTTCTGTTCCATTGATTTATGTGTTTATTTTATACTGTTTTAATTCTACCATTTTGTAATATAACTTGAAGTCTGAAATTGTGATACCTCTGGTTTTGTTTTTCTTTTTCAAGATTCCTTTGGCTAGTTGAGGTCTTTTGTAATTCCATGCAAATTTTAGGATTGTTCTAGTTTTGTGACAAATGCTGGTATTTTGATAGGAATTGTACTAAATCTGTAGATGGCTTTAGATGGTATAGACATTTTAACGGTATTTGTTTTTCGAACCCATGAGCATGTAATATCTATTTCTTTGTGTCATCTTGAATTGATTTCATCAGTGTTTTTATAGTTTCTAGAGTGCAGGTTTTTACTTCTTTGGTTACGTTTATTCCTAGATATTCTATTGTTTTTGGTGCAATTTTAAATGGGATTGTTTTCTTAATTTCACTTTCTGCTGCTTCATTATTAGCGTATAAGAATGCAACAGGTTTCTGTACAGTGATTTTGTATCCTGTGACTTTACTGAGTTCATTTATCAGTTCTGGTGGTTTTTTGGTGGAATCTTTAGGGTTTTGTATGTATAGTATGTCATCTGCAGATAGTGAAAGTTTTATTTCTTCCTTATCCATTTGGATGCCTTTTATTTATGTTGTCTGATTGCTGTGGCTAGGACGTCTCAGTACTATTTTGAATAAAAGCGGTGGAAAAGGACATCCTTGTCTTGTTCCTGACCTTAGGGGAAAAGCTCTGATTTTCACCACTGAGTATGATGTTGGCTGTGGGTTTTTCGTATAAGGCCTTTATCATGTTGAGGTATGCTCCCTCTAGACCTACTTTGCAGAGGATTTTTTATCATGAATGGATCTTGTACTTTGTCAAATGCTTTTCCTGCTTCTGTTGAAATGATCATATGATTTTTAAAAAAGATTTTATTTATTTGTGAGAGAGAGAGAGAGAATGAACAGAGAGGAGCGTCAGAGGGAGAGGGAGAAGCACACTCCCTGCTGAGCAGGGAGCCCAACGCAGGGTTGATCCCTGGACCCTGAGATTATGACCTGAGCTGAAGGCAGATGCTTAACTGAGCTACCCATGTGCCCCTGATCATCTGATTTTTATCCTTTCTTTTACTGATGTGATGTATCATGTTAATTGTTTTATGAATATTGAACTGCCCTTACATCCTTGCATCCCAGGAATAAATCCTACTTCATCGTGATGTATGATTTTTTAAATATATTGTTGGATTCGGTTTGCTAATATTTTGTTGAGGATTTATGCATCTATGCATTTATACTGACCTGTAGTATTCTTTTTTTGTGTGGTTTCTTTATCTGGTTTTGGTATCAGGGTGATACTGGCCTCATAGAATGAATTTGGAAGTTTTCCTTCCTCTTCTATTTTTTGGGGGATAGTTTGAGAAGAATAGGTATTAACTCTTCTTTAAATCTTTGGTAGAATTTGCCTATGAAGCTGTCTGGTCCTGGGCTTTTGTTTTTTTGGGAGTTTTTTTTTGATTACAGATTCAATTTCATTGCTGGTAATCAGTCTGTTCAAATTTTCTATTTCTCCATGCTTCAGTTTTAGTAGGTTATATGTTTCCAGGAAGTTATCCATTTCTTCTAAGTTGTCCAGTTTGTTGGCATATGGGTTTCCATAATATTCTGTTATAATTGTATTTCCGTGGTGTTGGTTGTTATTTCTCGTCTTTCATTAATGATTTTATTTATTTGGGTCCTCTTTTTTTTTGGATGGCTAGAGATTTATCAATTTTGTCAATCATTTCAAAGAACCAACTCTTGGTTTCATTGTTCTGTTCTATTGTTTTTTAAGTTTCTATATCATTTATTTCTAGTCTAATCGTTATTCTTCCTTCCTTTTCCTGGGTTTGGGCTTTGTTTGTTTTTCTTTTTCTAACTCTTAGCTGTAAGGTTAGGTTGTTTATTTGAGTTTTTCCTTCTTGAGGTAAGCCTGTATTGCTATAAACTGCACGTTTTTTGTAGTTAGCTAAAAGATACCTCTGAAAAACCTAGGGGTCTAACTACTTTATATGCACATTTTCAACCATTCCTCATATTTCCGGCTGTATTCTTCATCTCTGCCTTTCTCATTGCTTGGTCCCTTGAATTTCTAAATGTTTTCATGGTTCTTCTACCCTGGAAATGAACTTATTTATTATTTTCTTCCCTTTTTGGATTTCATCTTTTTCTTTTGTTTACAAGTCATATATCTGTCTCAGTTTTGTTGAAAATCACTTTTGCTATGATATTTTCTCTTGTACTTGTCCCTTTTAAAAGACATTTTCTTATGGTTTCAGGAGTGAGCTGAGATTAATATATGTTAGACACACGTTTGTCTTACCTTTCTTGACAGTGTGTTTGTGAGATTCATCCTTGTGCCTTCAGCCACATTTTGAGGGACCTGGCCATATTGTGAAGAGTATTATTAGCTGCTTTGTCATGCTAACTATCAAGAACTTCTTCTTTCTCTTTTTTTCTCTTCCTCTGCACAGTTAGGATCTATAAGTTAATAGCTCTTGTATATATCTGTTTGATATGAATGATGTGTTTTAGGGAAATTGGGATGCATCTTAAAATTGATGGTGTTGTCATTGGTTTTGTCTTGGTGGCACCTAAGTATAATATCTATTGCACTTGAAACAAGTAAAGTGAAAGATAAAACTGTCTTTATCTTGGTGGGGAAATGAACTTGTGATGTATTTAACAGGCTCCATTTGAAATCAGTACTTAAAGTAATTTTCTTTACTGAGTTAGGTAAAATGACATTTCAGAAGGTTTTTTTTGGCAACATACGGTCTTTCTCATTTTTGGAAATAGTTCCTGTTACGGAATGCTCATGGTGAAAATGCTTAAGACCTGGACGGTGGTTTTATGGGTGTTTGCATTGTAATTATTTGTTAAACTGTCAATTTATAGGGAAGTAAATCCATTTACAATCATAAGCACTATTTGCTGTATATAGGCATGGCTAGACATATTGCTCCAAATCCAAACAATGAAATTTTAGCTTACTGGTAGTCTTAAAATAAAAAGCGGAATAATATTTTGTTATGTTCATGTTCAATTGTGGTATCTCTTCCTTAAGCCTCTAATATATCGTTACTGAAGAGTGTTAATTTTTTCTTTCAGCTTTCTTAGTGTCAGGTCAGAACTGCCATGTTTTTGACTAAATTTAAGGTCTTCCTCCAGCCACTCCTAACTGTTAAATGTTTAATTTCTTCTGTTCCCTTTGCTTTTCTTTTAGTCCAGTTACCTGGACTTTCCTTATGGTCTTCCCTGTAATCTTATTTCTTGGTGGCTGGTATTTTAATTTTATTCTTTCCTAAACCTTACTCAGGGTTTCCCTAGTTAAGGGATAGAAGCTTAAATATTCTAGCCTTTTCCCAGTAGAACCACTTGACTTAGGTATTTTAGCTATTTAAACAAAAAACAGAAATGAAATATTTAAAGTCATATAATTCTTAGTTCATTTGTATGGTTTAGTTAATGAGGTTCAGAACTCCTTACAACTACCCTGCCCCCCAAATGGGTAGGGGTTTTAGTACTCAGTTGCATGTAAGTAAACTACTGTATTTTAACTAATGGACTGACCTTCATTTCTGCTCCCCTTCCTCCCCTGCTTTTAATTTTCTTGAAACATTGAACCTTCTACTTAGGTTTTATTTTGTTGTGATTTACTTACAAAGGACTTATGCAATCTTTTAAAACATTTTAATTGTTAAAGTTCCATTTTAATCAAATAAAATTTTGTCTTTCAGAGTATCTTAAAGTGAGGTCACATGACCCTGAAGAAGCTATTAGACATGATGTTATTGTGTCTATAGTTACGGCTGCTAAAAAGGATATTCTTCTGGTCAACGATCACTTACTTAATTTTGTGAGAGAGAGAACTTTAGACAAACGGGTAAGTAGGAATAATTAGTAGTAGTATGCTTTTACTTTGAATACTTTAAGTTTAATAGTATTTCATTTGAAAATATTGAGATTTAAGTGTAATTAACCCTTTTTAGGGGGGCATTTTAATATTTATGAGGTTTTATTTTTTTATATTAAATTTTGTTAGATTTTTAAATTCAGATTATTCTCATCTTAAAAATGAGTTGGCTCTAAATGGTAGTCAGATGTTTAGCCTGGACACTAGTTTTAATAAGTGACTTGTAATGGCCTCTGACACAACTTCATATGTTGTTGGCTCTCTTCTGTTTCTTTTCCTATGGGTATCAGTTGATAGTCTTTTAGCTGGTTGTGTTATAATTTCTGTAGAGTAGAAAATAACATGTTTTCAGCTTAGCACAGCTAAACCTAGCAGAACAGCATGCTTCCAGCCCTATCTTCTGTGACCCTAAACCTTTCCTCTTGAGTGAACACCCACTTGCTGCACTCAGTAATCATTGGCTTCTTAAGGAGGTACCATGTCTTCTTATTCTTGTATTCATATTGCCTGGAGTATATTAGAGACTCAGTAAAGTATGTGAGTGAATGTTCATTCCCTCCTCATCCCCAGTGCCTTTACTTTCTGGTGTGGGTTTTACTGGATTTAGGCTTGAGTGATTTTGGTGAAGGATGAAAATCATTGATGTATTTGGGGGTTAATTAGCAAAGAAAATGGGAGACCTGTTGGTAGTTGTGAATAGTTTTGACTAGTAAATACTTTATGACATTTTAATAGTTGCTTATAAGGTTGATTGTGCTGTCTTCATCATTTAATGCTCTCTTTGGTAATGCTGGTTGTGGATAGAGAATAGATGGGCAGGAATTGCATAGTTTTCCCTCCAAATATATAGGTATTAGGAATAACGTATTTTAACTAATAAATTTAGACTTGTCTTTATTGAATATCTCATAGGGTTTTAATGAAAGGTCCAAAAGGCATAAAGAAGGAAAAGGAGATTTGCCTCGTGGTAGGATAACAATCTTCTAAGTGTTCACGTAGTCTTTTTTCTTTGTTAGACTTGGAATTTGAGCTAAGTATCTGTGTATTGTTGGGGTCACATAAATTCACATAATTTTTGATAATCATGTTGTATTCATCATAGGGCTGCTTGGTTCATTCATACAAATATTAATTGGGTACCAAAAAATAATGGAATATATTTATGTTCTTGGCAGTATTAGAATATGCTCTATCTTTAAATTCTCCTTAAAGCAGCAGTTTGGGGAATTAGAGATAAGATAGAGAATTAGAAAATTCCTACAAACAAATTGAATTCTTATGAGTAAGGCTTTTTGAAGTCTTTTATTTTAATATGTATCAGTGGATGGATGAGATAAGGACTGTTCTTAATCTGCTGTAAGTAATTTAAAGAAAAACTAAGAGAAGAATATAACAATGAATGACAGACTGCAAAGAAAAAAAAAGAGACTGTGTAGCTTCATGAAGTTCTAAACATTACTAACATCTTACTGGTGCTGTTTGTGTAAAATTAAAGAATAAACTCATTCCAAGTTAATGAAGCAGTATTAGATCTATTATAGCAAATATGTATTTTAAAAAAATAGTTGAATACATTCCTCTTACACTTGAACTTGATTCTTAAGATACACAAAATGAGCTGAGTGTGTTTACTCAGCATTTGATGAAACCAATGTCATGTACCTTTAATTGAAGTATATTTAATACACACCATAAATGGAAAAAATGTTTAAGGGATAGGTCACAATTAGCTCATTCTTTGCCTTTTAAAATTTTGTAACATACTTTCCCTTACCAATTCTAAGTGACTTTATGTGATGGTGATTAACTTTTGTTTTTTAGGGGTAACGTTGAGTTTAAGATGCATTAGAATTCTTTATACATGTTCATATCTCTGTACCTTATATAGTAGATGTATTAAAATGATAGTTGTGTTTTTTTTCATAGTCATTATAAATTGATATCCAGTAACTGAGGATTGATGAAGATATATTGTGTAAAGCAACTTAAAAACAAGAAAACAGACTTTCCTGAAATATAATGTGAGCATTTTTAAATTTTAAGAAAGCGTTTTTGTTTTTACTTTAAGTGGAGAGTACGCAAAGAAGCCATGATGGGACTTGCCCAAATATATAAGAAGTATGCTTTACAATCAGCAGCTGGAAAAGATGCTGCAAAACAGATTTCATGGATCAAAGACAAATTGCTACATATATATTATCAAAATAGTATTGATGATCGGTAAGTTAAGGGCACCATATCTAAAATATATGGTGCTTTTGGTATATTAAGCTGTTTTGATCTGTTGTTTTGGGTAAAGTGTTTTCTTTATAACTTTAAAGTCTCTCAGTTTTTACTGCAAGTTAAAGGTAGTGAGTGACTAGTTTTCTTCCACCAAAGCCATAAATGAAGCAGTAATGTACATATAACTTTAGGGAGGAATACAGCTTTTATGTTCATTTTTTATACTATTTTTAAACAGAGCTGTACTTAAGAGTAGAAATGTGTAATAATTTAAATTTTATTTCATAGGTTATTTTTCAAATAAAATATTTTCAAATAAATGAAAATAAGCCTTTTGGATTATAGACATTTTAAATAAACAGTTTCTACCGAAGGATAAAAAGTTTATAATTTTATTTGAAACACATTATCTGAATATAATCTTTGTATTTTTCTATTGCAGTATAAGATTAGATCTTGTATGGATCCTAACCATTTAGTAGTAAATAGATCTGTGAATCCTGCTTGCAGGATTTCACTTGATTGGATTTATTTTAAATTTTTAGATCCAAATGGTCTCACCCGTAATAGATGAGAATGAGAAAATTAAGAACCAGTAGGCCACCTTACAGTTTTAAAAGTTATTAGGAACTAGGAACTAGTTATCTTACGTTAACATTGAGGAACTTCATGCTTATTATTTTTATAAAATTGACATTTTTAGACTTTTTGAGTGTGCAGCATCATTGCATGGAGATTTGCATTATTATTTGCTAGTGCCTTTTTTTTTTTTAACTTTTAACCAGGTCTTTTCATGTTGCTTACTCCAGAAACTTAGAAGAATCTTAAAAATGTCTTTATAATTTTAACTTAGAGATGCGTAGAATTTGTCATTTGGAAGGACCTGGTTTTTTAACACTTTATTATTCAGATAAGGAAATGGAATCCCTCATTTACGCTCCAGGTCATGCAGAGGTAGTTATCTTAGCTGGGTATAGGGCTATTGCCCGTACATCCAGCTAAATCTTTTTTCAGCCCCTCTTCTTTTAGAAGGAAATCATTGAGTTGAAATCTCCTCTCCATTTAGAAAGCAGAAACTTTTTATATGTATTCTTTGTGTGTTTTGGAATTTTATATACAAATTTAATACGTAAAAAAAATCATTACAGTACCTTCTCTGTGTTTTTATAGATTGCTTGTTGAACGCATCTTTGCCCAGTACATGGTTCCCCACAATTTGGAAACTACAGAACGGATGAAGTGCTTATATTACTTGTATGCCACACTGGATTTAAATGCTGTGAAGTATGTTTCAAATGTCAAGTTTTGTTCTTTTCATCTTTTTCAGTGTATTGGATTTTACGGGGAATAAAACCACAACTGTATTTTTAAATGTTAACAATTTATGTAATACAAACATTGTTTGAATGGTCAGACACAATAAAATACTTGGCTATTTTTTCAAAGGTACTGCTATCACCATGAGATTAACAAGGATTTTTGTAAGCAATTAAAAAATAGAGCTGATTGACATGGCATCTTTCAGGATTTGATTTTTTTGACATCCATATTGTTGTTTCAAGAAGTATTGATGTACCTTTTTGTTTGTTTTCTTCCTTAAGGCGTTAAGGTTCATACTGAGAATATCCTACCACCTTATTTTGACCTCATGCTCATTTGAATTTTGCTGTAGGGCAGTAGGGTACATGTTTTTGTGCTGCATAGCGTCAACATAGTTTGGCATACGGGTAAGCACAAATATATTTTAATGGCCATTTTTCATTCAGAAAATACTTTTGTGAGTGCCTTTATACAGAATTGGCATTTTGGACATGGATTACTAATGGAATCATACTGATGGTTAGGAAATTGAAACCTAGAGATTGATTTGCTCTGGGTTTTAGAAAATGTAGGTCCTTTGCATTCCAGCAAATGTAGTTCAAGTGGGGGATTAAGGGGCACCTGGGTGGCTTAGTCGTTAAGTGTCTGCCTTTGGCTCAGGTCATGAGCCCAGGGTTCTGGAATCGAGCCCCGCATTGGGCTCCCTGCTCAGAGGGAAGCCTGCTTCTCCCCTCTCCCATTCCCCCCTGCTTGTGTTCCCTCTCTCACTGCGTCTCTCTGTCAAATAAATAAATAAAATCTTAAAAAAAAAAAAAGTGGGGGATTAAATGTTCAGAAATTGGAAGTCTAAGGAGCTGCATATAATTTTCATTCCTACCTCTGCTTAATGGGACTTTTGACTTCTTGCATGGAAATTATTATATGTGCCAATTATACCTTTCGTAGAAACATTGAAAAAAAGTCGTAGAGGGGAGAATGTAAATTTCTTATTATCTGCTGTATTTCAGGCAGAGGAGTATGTATTATCAATGGCTGCTTTTGTGTTTTAACAGCAGAATTGAGTAGTTTCAACAGAGACTGTCCATAAAGCTTAAAATATTTATTATCTGGCCTTTTATAGAAAAGCTTGCCAACCCCTCATGTGATATTTTTTCCTATTTTTCACATGAGGAACTGAATTCCAGAGGTCAGTTAACTTGCACAAAATCACACAAGTAGTAAGAGACAGAGTCAGGATTTGAACTCTACCTGGTTCCAAAGTTCATTCTTTTTATACTGCATACAGTAAAATATGTTACTACCATATTTAATTGATTTTAAAGCATACAATTGTCATATGCTAACACCTCTAGAATTAGAGTGCATCCTTATCTTCATGGTGCAATTGATGTCTTCTTGGAATGAATGAGAATAAGATATATAGCACACTCCCCACTCCATCCCTATTTGAGACAACCTGTGTCAAATCATAGTCTAGGCGTCTGACTCAGCTCACCTGCCATTCATGAGTAAAAATGAAAGACACTCTTAAGCAAAAAATGAGAGTTCACCACTCATATATCCTACTTGAGAAAATTACTAAAGAATAATAATTTCTCTTGGTAAAAAAGGAAATTCAGAAGGAAGGAATAGGATGTAAAAAGTGACAAAATTTTCAAACACTTTTGCAGGTCTAAATAATCAATGCCTATAAAAACAACAATAATAATAACAACAAAGTTTTCTTTACAAGGGAAGGAGGTGTAGATTAAAAAGTAGGTTAGCATCCTGGCTGATATTTAGCCAGCACACACTTCTTGGAAGATCTCTTGAGAGTCCCTGGGATCTTCTCCCCACCCCACTTTCGCCTGTGCCTGGGCACAGCAGAAGGACCTTCAGGCCCTTGTTCTACTGCCACCTGTTCTGATTGATTGGTGCTGTGCCTTTGTGAAAAGTTTTGAATACTAGGTGGATCCTATCAGATAACAGCCTGTAAGATGGTAGCTAAAATGTTCTGTGGTTCTTTTATCATAGAAGAGTGAGGACAGATATTGTTAATTAGGCTGTAAATTAAGTGTACGAATTAAAAATTTGAGTTGCTCTGAAAGAACAGAATTAGAATGTTGGCTTCCAAAACCATAGGACTAAAAAAGAATTAATGAAAACTGTAATATGAGAAATGGAAAAGAAACATAATTGTAAATCGAAAACACTAAGTAGCAGTTATGTGTATATATATAGATCAGGGGCGCCTGGGTGGCTCAGGCAGTTAAGCATCCGACTGTTGATTTCGGCTCAGGTCATGATCTCTGGGTCATGAGATCCAGCTCTGCAACTGCCCCCCTCACCCCCCGCCTTGCACTCCTGCTCGCTTGTGCACTTTCTCTCTCTCAAATAAATAAATCTTAAAAAAAAACTACATAATCAGATATCACTCATCATTTAAATAACAAGTATGTTTGATTGAATTAAAAAGTAAAAATGCTAATCACAAGAGATACACTGAAAAATAATGCCATGGAAAAGTTGAAAGTAAATTCCAATCTATGGACCAATAGATTCTCCAAAAATGGTTGGTAAGTGAATAGATTTTTCTCTGTTTTAAGTTAAAACACTTAAGGTATTTATAATATTTTTTAAATGATTTTTTAATTTTAACCAACATTTTGGAATTAACTAACCAACTGTAAATCTAATACTTAATATTTTACTTTAATACTTTTAACTTTACATTTGTGATTTATTCCTCCAAAAGTCTTTACATTTACTGTTATGAAATATTTAATGCACACAAAGAAATCACATACGAGTTTCGAAGGATAGTAATAAAGTAAATATATCTGTGAATCTACAGCCAACTTTTGTGAACTCTTCTCCCTTTCATCCTCCTGTCTTCCACCCGGAGGAAACCACTAACCTTAATTATGTATTTTTCATTTCCTTTTTAAAAAATAATTTTATCATGGGGCATCTGGGTGGCTCAGTCAGATAAGTGACGGACTCTTGATTTCAGCTTAGGTCATGATCTCAGGGTCCTGGGATCAAGCCCCATGTTGGGCTCCACTCTCATGCGGAGTCTGCTTCTTTCCCTCTCCCTCTGCCCCTCCCCCCTGCTCTCTCTCTGTTTCTCTCTCTCAAATAAATAAATAAATCTTTAAACAACAGTTTTATCAAAATAAAATAAAACATAGTTTCATCATATATATATATATGTATCCCTCATAATATTCATTTTTGCTTATTTTTGAACACTATGAAAGTGAATTGTGGATATAGTCTTCTGTGACCTTTTCCCCCATTTTCTTATGTTCCTAAGATTCATCCATAATATATATAGCTTGTTGGTCATTCATTTTCTTTGTCTTTCTAAACATTATTAGACATCTTATTTTTTGTAAATCTTTTGGGTCTTTAAATTTTGTCTCATCTTTTTTTTATTCATTTTCCTGAATAGTAATAATCTTGATGTTTTCAATAATGTTTCTAATCCTATCACAGTCCTCACCACTCTGTATTGTAACATCTGTCCTACTTTATTCATTTACATTATTATTCTAGCTCAGAATTCATTTGAATTTATAATCTCTAATTAGTTTGAAAGACACTTAAAAATAGCTGCTTGGCAGGCAGGTTCATGGTGAGAACTTGTTTGATAAGATCTTTCTTATGAAAGAACCATATATTTTATTCTGTGACCATGTTCTTTTGGGGAAGACAAAATACTTCCTATATTTAAAATTTTTGATGTGTATCAATTTTGGGTAAGCCCATAAGTTAACTATCTTTTTTTTTCTTTTTTAAGGTTCATTTATTTGAGAGAGAGAAAGTGTGCACATGCACACGTGCCTGCGCAAGGGGGAGGGGCAGGGGGATAGAATCTTCAAACACACTCCCCATGGAGTGGGGAGCCTCACTCATGGGGCTTGATCCCGCAACCCTGAGATCATGACCCAAGCCCAAACCAAGAGTTGGACACTTAGCCGACTGAGCCACCCAGGTGTCCCACTAAATATCTTGATTAGTGAAAGAGCAGAGGCAGGCTTGAGTACTCTCTGATCATGATGTGTGTTGCCACCTCCCCCAGGCTTCCTAGAACAACTGTTAATGACAAGAGTTAGTGGTAGTTTCAGGTGTCCTGAATGCGATGTCTTTCGTTAGGCAGGCTCTCATCTAGACTGTTTTTGTACTGCTGTGTCTGGTGGGCAGTTTTGCCAACTGGGAGCAGAATATTGGAGGAGAGGTTCTCTTCAACATTTGTACAGGTTTCTGACAGCCACCGATGGTAGCTGTCTTTTTCTTTGAGTTAGTGCAAAGCCCTAGTGAGAAGACTAGACAGGTAATAGCTAAGAATATCCATTCTCTAATCAAATTTTTCATGTTTATTTAGTGACAGAGCTGGAATTCAGGCTCATATTAAATTATATTTGTCTTCCTGTTGTAAAATTATTTCTACTTTTTTTTTCCCTTTTTAAGGATTATTTAGGAAGGCAAGCACAAGGATAAATTGTCTTTGCTGCTTAAGATAATTTTATTAAAGTACTTGAGAGGATGGTTTCCCTGAAAATATATTACAATACAAAATCTTAATGGTGGTTACTTTTTGATTTACACTATAGCCATCATAGTTTATAATGGAGCTTTGGAATTGCTTGAGATTTCATCTTTAACAAATAGCTATTAGAGGTGTAATAATTCCTGCTTTATTTTAAGTATTTTAAGTGAAGGCAAGTTTCAAAATCCAGGCCTGTCAGAAGTTGTAAGTAATGATGAAGTGTTAAGAAGCAAGAGACAATTCATTGACTTTGTGGAGTTCAGAAGTAATTTCACAGATGACTACTGTTTCTTTGAAAATTATTTTAATTACATAACTCTTAGTTCCTAGATTTTTACAGTCCTCTGTATACTGGTCATTTTTCTTTTAATGTGTATATTCTTGAAGTGTTTCAATTAAATTTTTAATGGAAATTTAATAACTTGAAAACAGTATAGTTATTTTGGTGGCTCAGTTGGTTGAGCGGCTGCCTTCGGCTCAGGTCATGATCCTGGAGTCCATGGATCGAGTCCCGCATCGGGCTCCCTGCTTGGCAGGGAGTCTGCTTCTCCCTCTGACCCTCCCCCCTCTCATGCTCTCTCTCTCTCTCGTTCTTGCTCTCTCAAATGAATAAATAAAATCTTTAAAAAAAATAAATTTTAACTTCTAAGATAAAATGCTGTTGCTTTGCCAAGTACCATTTTGAGATGACTACTGTAAAGGAATTTAACTGTCCAAATTTAAACTATTTCCATAAAAGTATCCAAAGATATTCTTAAAACAGAGTGTTAAGGAGGAAAATGAACGTTTTTAACAATTGTCTTGCCAATGAAAAAAAGAGGTGGTTTTATATGCTTTTGTACTATATTACTGTTTTATGGCAGTGCTTAATATGTGTGATAGTGGAGGCTAATGAAGTGTAGGTAATTGAAAACAAAATAATGAAAAGTATTTGGTTTTGGAAAATTTCCTTTTCAAATATTAAAATATGTGTGGTTCTGAATTCTGTAACTTAATATTTCAATAACATTAACTTCTCATGATTTCTGCATATTTTCTTGAGTGTATAATTTTAGATTTCAATTTCTGTCTGAAAACAAAAATATTAAGAGGATATCAAAAATTTTGCCATATAAAAATAATATTCACTTACATATAGTAATATGTAAATACATATATTTATATAACCTAATAAGTATATACAGGATATAAATACATGTACATGTCAAATTTATGTAGTATAAATATATTTATATATTTTATATGGAGTATATAGAATATATAGTTATATATTATAGGTAATAATGTTTTATATAATTTATATAATACATTATTTAGTTAACTGTGACAGCTCAGTGAGTCCTTAAAAATCTAAACACACAGGGGTTCCTAGATGACTCATTTGGTTGGGATTCCGACTCTTGGTTTTGGCTCAGGTCATGATCTTAGGGTTTTGAGATCAAGTCCCCTCTTGGGCTCTGCACTGGGTGGGGAGTCTCCTTGAGCTTCTCTCTCCTTCCCCCACTCACATGTGTGCTCTCTCTTTCTCTCTCTCAAATAAATAAATAAATCTTTAAACAACAGTTTTATCAAAATAAAATAAAACATAGTTTCATCATATATATATATATGTATCCTTCATAATATTCATTTTTGCTTATTTTTGAACACTATGAAAGTGAATTGTGGATATAGTCTTCTGTGACCTTTTCCCCCATTTTCTTATGTTCCTAAGATTCATCCATAATATATATAGCTTGTTGGTCATTCATTTTCTTTGTCTTTCTAAACATTATTAGACATCTTATTTTTTGTAAATCTTTTGGGTCTTTAAATTTTGTCTCATCTTTTTTTTATTCATTTTCCTGAATAGTAATAATCTTGATGTTTTCAATAATGTTTCTAATCCTATCACAGTCCTCACCACTCTGTATTGTAACATCTGTCCTACTTTATTCATTTACATTATTATTCTAGCTCAGAATTCATTTGAATTTATAATCTCTAATTAGTTTGAAAGACACTTAAAAATAGCTGCTTGGCAGGCAGGTTCATGGTGAGAACTTGTTTGATAAGATCTTTCTTATGAAAGAAC